AGGAGAGAGAGAGAGAGAGAGAGAGAGAGAGAGAGAGAGAGAGAGAGAGAGAGAGAGAGAGAGAGAGAGAGAGAGAGAGAAAGACGAACAAAATAGCAACTGCATATGATGTCTTAATAAAGATAGTGAGAATCAAAAACATAATAAATCTCCCAAATAAGCCGGTAGTGTTACAACAAAACAAGGCAGAACAAATTATTTTACTCACCAGTGTGTGTTCTTAAATGGGCCTGTAATGATTTTTCTCTTGGAAACGCACGACCACATTTATCACATCTGATCTTTGATTTAGATGACGATCCTTCAATCATTAATGTTGTCAATAAATCGGCTCGTGGTCGACCGCGCTTTCCGGAATCCCTTTCTCTCTTTGTTGATATTTGTAACTTATTCGAGTTTTCTTTTGCTTTTGCTGTTAAATTTGTCATAGTAAAATGTGTATGATCGTTTGTCCTCAAAGGTAAAGCACACGCGCTTGGACTAAGATCTAATGGATGCATTTTAAATGTTTCTCTTCAAAAATATCTTCTCTCCCCTAGTGCGCTCCTCGAAATGAGCCCCAACAGCGAACAGCTGAAGTCCCGTTAGAACTCGTTGTCCTTACCTGTCTCTACCTGTCGGCAGTTAAAAATAACCAGAAAATGGGTCAGGAATCCCCCTTCAGTAAAGAGACCATTCTAACTTCACAGTTCAATGCATTGAAAGTAACTGTGATTATAGAGCTAACTAGAATCAGCTAAAAAAATCAAAACCATTACAGAATTTTACAGAGGGTACTTTGATCAAGTTAGTGAAAATTGTTTTGTGAAATCACTATTTTTATTATATTTGATTCTGGATTCATTCGCGAACCAAATTTGGTTGAATTACATCACCGGAAGTTGTCAGATGGTTCACCTTGCATGCGCATTACATTGTGCGCGAAGCACGCCATCTTGCTGATCTGAGGGTTACTGAGGGAAAAGGCCGTACGGTCCTAATCTAATAACATCCTCTCCGCCACAGAGGAAAATGGACCACCAATACGGCGTAGCGGTTACGAACAAATTTATGCTCTTCATCGATGAAGATGAAGATCCATTGGAGATTCTGTCGAGGCAGGAGGAACTAGCCAAGACGAAGAAGAAAGATGAAGGCGACAAGAAAACGTCAAAAACGAAGGTGAAGAAGGCATCGGCTCCAGAGCCTAAATCAAAGACTCCTGAGCAGCCTGCTGCAAAGAAAGAGGGTGAGTACTCTTTAAACGTTGTTTGTGCATTGTTGTGATTTGGAGATTTTGCTGTTTCTTAATGTGTGAAGATTTGTTAATGTGTGCTCGATGCTTGCTGGCCTGCTTCCGGCAGAGTTGTTCTGCAAAACGGCATGGTGGGCCAATACTGTCAGCAGTGCCATGCCATGTGACAACAGAAGCTCATAAAGTATGCAATGTGATGCGGTTACCACCACACGTGTTTAACTCTTGTATTATACTTATTAGGGCTGGAACATTGTAAGTCAATGTTTCTGCTTCATACACATAAACACAACTGGAACGCAAGAATTGTGACTGCCACCTGGTTCAGAGTGAGTACCATGCCTTGCTGAATTGACATGCTTTGGACTTTTGGAAGTGCAAGTTTTTATTGATGACTTATAACCCAAACCTTCGTGAATAGATCTTGAAATCTAGATCTAGAATCTAGATTTATATAGACTAGATCTAGTCTGAACGAAATATTGAAATAATTAATTTTTCTGACCCATCCCACTCATAATGTCATGTCAGTGCACATTTATGATTCCTGTCTGAACTTAACTCTAATTCCTAGTCTACCTTCCATTGGATTGTAGAATCGGAAGGACTTCCGTAACGAGCGACCACCCCATCACACACAATAAAGAAGAGGCCTAACCATAACCCAAACGCTACCCCTAGATCTACCCCTAGCCCTCAATTCTGCTCTAGCCTCTGTCTCCTCCTAGTCATAATAGCGGTCGCTCGTTGCAGAAGTCCTGGCACTCCTGTACAATTGCGGTCCCGGTAGATCTAGCACTAAATCACAATGCAAAGACTACTGGATATCGATACTGATTGAAGTGTTCGGTATCGATGTTTTATCAGTAGATCTTGCCTATAAAATGAGCAGTAAAATTTCACTTGCATAAAACTCAAAAGGCAATGGGGGTTTCTTTCAGGGGGACATGCCCCCCCTGAATTTGACCATAATTTGATGTTTTACAATTAGGTTTGATTGGCTGTCCGTCCATAGGCCTATCGGTACGTGCATAAAAAAGTAATCGTTTAGAACCAGAAGTAATCGTTGGTAGGGTCAAACCGAGTATCTCGGAATGGGACCGCAATTGTACAGAAGTGCCGAAGTCCTCCCGTAGAATCGATGAGTTTTATTCCTAGATTCTAGAAGCTCTCAGAGGTTCACCGGATGTAACCCGCCAAAAATGCCTGCTGCCACTGCTGATGGGTCGTAAACATGGGGGGGGGGATTAGCTGAGATACCCGAGATGTAGATCTATGCCTGCTACATGATCTAGATCTAGCACTGAAAAATTACCAATTAGCCTACGGCTGAACAGATGATAAAAGGCTTATAAAAACCATACATTTTCTTAAAACTGATAATTAGCATTCAAAAATAAGCGATCAAATAAATTAAATACAAAACGCAATACGCGATAAACTCAACAATTAAAATCTAGATCTAGTACATCAGCATCGCGAAACAAGTGTCCTCAAGTGATAGCACATAGATTTCTAGCGTGCAGTCGCTCTGCTGGACCGCGTCACTTTATCGATCGACATACGCTCTGCAAGGTCAAGATAACTTGCAAAGTCATTGGTCACCATGTATAACTTTGGGGGGTGCTTTTTTGGTAGTTCCCACTCCCCTTATTGGAGATCTATAAATCTACGTTTGATGCCCGGCGAGCGAAGATATCAAACCTCACAACTGCAAAACATCAAATTATGGTAAAATCGGGGGGGGGGGGGGGGGGATGCCGCCCTGAAACACCCCACATTATTTTTATGTCCCCCTACTCTTTGGGCCAAAACCCGCGAATAACAATTGCGGGATGGGAAAAAGCGCCTAACTTTTGACTGGAAAATTACGTCATTTTCCATATAAGGAATACTGGAATTTTCCAAGGTTAGCATCTATGCCTTTTAGGGCTTGCGCGCTTCCAGGGTTAATTAAGGGGTATTTTTTTTACTAATACACCCGTCTCATGTACACATTTGATATACTTTTATTCTAGTAGTGTTTTGCAGGCTGAACACGAACGTGGCCTTCATTTTTGCAGCAAATCAATAGTTATTGAGTTATTGATGTTTGAAAATAGTAAATTTAGCTTTAAATGGGGGGTTTCAGGGGGGCATGCCCGAATTTCACAATGATTTGATGTTTTGGCAATTAGGATTGATATTTACTTGAAAACAATTGATTTGCAAGGGTTTTAGTGGCCATGCGTGTGTTCTACAGCAAAAATTGTGGCAGTTTATGCATCTATGTGTGGGTGCAAAAGTAAAAATTAACCAATTAAGGCCTTGAATCTAAATAGATCTAGTAGACTTTGTTCTCAACCCAAGGTCAAATGGTTTCCGTAGTTTCTTGCATTCCTTTTCATCCCCTTGTGGAAGAATAAATTGGGTTTAGAATCTAGATTCTAGATCTAGGTTCATAATTTTTTTCATAAATTTATATAGAATCTAGTTGTGCCTTTCACTTGACATTTTCAAGTCACATGTGTCTGTCAGTTTACATTGAATATTGAAGAACCATGTGGTGTATCATAATTCAGCGTTTATTTTAGTTATATAAACCACGTCATAGTAGGTCAAGCTTTTTTCTTTTGGTGTTAAAACGAATTTTTACTCTTAGCTTTTGGATCAGGTCTTACGAATAATGGAGGTAAGATCCAAGTGAAGCTGTAGTTTCCAGTGTAGGTCTTGATACCTGAATACTGGATGCTAATCGCATGTTTGCCCAAGACTTTGTACAAAGCATTTTTTGAGTTTACCAATCTTCTTTCTTGCAGACAAGCCCCTTCCTTCACGTCAAAACGACCGTGGTCGTGGTGGAAGAAACCGTGAACCAAGAGAAATTCGTGATAATGATGGCGAGAGACGACCGCAGTGGCGCCAAGGACTGAAGGACAATCGTGATGTCCGTGTGGGGGATGAAAATGTCCCGCCTGAATTCAGGTAGTTTTGACTATTTGAAGCCTCAAACGAATTTTAGGACCTTAAGGATTAGGCCTATTTTTAATGTATTTAAACAATTTGTTTTTAGGAATTTGGAAGAGCCTATTTGCAACGCCGCATTAGTCTATATGAAGCTTAATGTACCTTCCGTTGTTGGAAGTTCTGATGGCTGATGGGACAGCGCATCTGCTCTTAAAGCCGAATCATTATTTTATTAGTGCGGGTTCGAATCCTGGTCCTGGAAGTTAAAAATTTTTTTATTATTTGGTACTCTTCTCGACTGACCAACATATTTTCGAAGCGTGTACATTCTGGTTTTGTCCCAAGAGGAGCTCTGTACAAAGTAGGCCTTATAGTATAGCTTATACTTTTCCTTTGACCAATTTAGGCCTGTTTAAAGTTCAAAGTGGCTTTCCTTGGTCTGTCTTATTTTTAAAATTTATTTTAGGCTCAGGAGAAGAAAAACCTTTCGGGACAGGGATTTGATGCCACGTTTGGGAGCACTGAACATTAGACTTACAGAACATAGACAGCTTGTATATGTTCTCTAGGCCTAACTTAAAGATATTTTTAGGTTGATCTATTGTATGACGATACTGCGGACAGGAAATACTGCTTATACCGAGTTGCACCTCGATTTACTTGCTCACACCTCACACTCGTGATTATTAGAGATGAACAAGACGTCTCGTCTACTTTTGTGCAATGTCAGAAACACCTGTTAGATCGTGGGTGATTGGCGGGTGCTCTGGTGTGGTTTGCTTCTTCTTTCCTATCAAACGTCTATCGTCCTTATCTCCCCTTCTTCTTTTTTATGTTTATTACTTTCTTGTAACACCTAATCTTCTGGTGCCCATATGACCTTATGCAGTTGCGAGCGCTGTAAAACCTCTACTAAAACGAAAACGAAACTGTCAGATCTAATCTGGGTCTGTCCAGTATTAATCAGAATTATGAGAATAAGACGTCAGAAAAGTCAAATCCTAGGAGGTTTATCAAGAAACTGAGAGAGGTTCCACAATTCAAGCAGCAGTACAATAATATTATGTAGAAACGATGGCCGATTTTGGTGTGCATATTTCGATTTTTACGAAAAAGGGTGTCGGGATGAGATCATTTTATTTATAGCATTGTATCACAATGTGGGATCTTTAAGAATATGTTGGCAAAATGACTAAATAATAGCAAAGCTTTTTTTTGATGACTTAAGCCGTGCCTGCCTACCTTAAAATATAATTTATTTCAATCTGGCATGCTGTTTAATTAAAAACTTTTTCCCGTTCAGACGTGAACACCTGAGAGAAGCGCGCCTCGGAATACCCCCATTACAATGTTACAAGGTAACAGAAAGAAAAAAAAAAGGATGCGCGTGCCAAGTGACCAATGAACGGGTTAGGAAAAGTCATGCAGGGATTTGTAGGTCACATACATTGGCCAAGGGAGTGGAGCGAAACCGCTTTGGACAGGGGGGTAGTGGTTCATTTATGATGAAAGTCTGAACAACTACTTGACACAGAAAGTTCAAATTTGAGCACACTATAGAGGAAAGATAGATCTCTTACCTTCTCGACCATTATCAAGCTCCTTATAGTGTACCTGATACGAAAGTGTTTTCGACACCAAAAAAATAGGTTAATTTATGCGGACAAACTTTGACGTCCAAATATAATTTGTTTTTCTCTATTTTCTGATTGGTTGCGAAGTTTAATTCACATTGGTCCTGAAATGGTCACTTGCGTTCCGAGCCGGTCGAAAAGTTCACCCACAAGCATTGACCAAAATTTTCCGCGCTCAGAAGCCCGAATGGCATTACTTATTTAGTCTAGAAAGACTTGCTCTACCTTTTCGCCATATCAGTGAGACAATTGTCTTGTTTGAAAGCCAATATTGATATTCCATGGTTTAATTTTCTTGAAAGTGAACAATTTTGTTCCATAGTACCTTTTTGAAGTTTTGATTAGGGAATGGACATGCTCTCTAGTGTAATTCAAATATATGTCTTTCCTGGTTTCTATCTTATGCTTGCATGTTTCAGGGAAGAAGGTTGTTCAGGTACTGCTGTTTTTATATCTAATCAACATGGATAATTGGGTTATATGTATGCGAGTGCAGTGTAAGAATAGATTAGTTTTTCAGTGGTCTAAAATACACATCTTTTTTTCAACATGCATTCTTAGGGAAAGGCCAGATGGTTTTCGCAGAAGAGAGGACCGTGGGGACAGAGAAGGTGGATTTGGCGGCGAAAGAGGACGTGGACGTGGAAGAGGCAGAGGTAGAGGAGGTCGCGGCGGCGAACGAGGTGGTGGCTTTGGTGGACCAAGAGGAGGCTTTGGAGGCGAGAGGAAGAGGGAATTCGATCGCCACAGTGCATCAGATAGGACGTGAGTTTTTAAAACCTTTGTGTCTATTCCCGTCATTGCATGTGGCTTGAATTGTTTTTGGTTCCATGGTGTTGGCTGAAGTATATTCTGGTGGAGTTTTGAGATACTTAATAGTGTGCAACGAAATTGGAAAAAAGCTCACTTGCAAAAATTATTCTTGGAGAAAGCTGCTGATGGCGTGCTTTAATAGACTGTACTAAACGTTGAGCGTACAGACTTTGTTGCACAATAAACATGTTGTATACTGATTGCATTGTGCTGTGTAACTGGAAGAGTTCTTATCCATTGCTGAGGTAGATCTGTGGAAGTAAAAAAAAGAGTGCATGAATTATAAATAATATATGATGAAAGTTCTGTGGTCTAACCTTAGTCTGGGCTTTTGCTTTTTGTTGAAAATTTGTTCAAGAAACCAATAACATTTTGTTATCATTCATTTCTATTTTCGTGTTATTTTTAAAATCGGGCTTTTTTCTCTTTTGATTTCAAATATTTTACTTTTTAAAATACATTTGGCTCTAATGACAAGGAGGTGTTGTGTTAAGTTCTCGTGAACACAGTAGTGATAGAAATAATAAATGCTTAAATAGGTAAATGTGTTGGTGTTTTTGATTCAAAATTAGGGTTCCTCCACTGATACAGTGGTCTGTCAATGAATGTCCCATTTCATGAATTTGTCAAGATCACTATTTCCATTCGAAATATGAAACTGTCAGTGATCAGAAATGTGAGCTTTTAGTCCGAAGGTGGAGGATCTCTGATGTAGATGCATGATTAAAAAGAATTGTATTTTTTCTTTGCAAAGTTGTTTCATTTTCGTGTTGTCAATGATGGAACCTTGGAATTGTCTGGTTTCTCCATTTATCCCCCAGGTTAATGCCTTCAGTATAGATAAAGGGGGTTACTGCTTCTTCTGTACAGTTCGGCTTTTTATACCAAGTATTGTGGGGAGGTACAGATTTTGGGTTGGGGGAAACTGGAAAGCCTTCAGGAGCTTGTACTTTACTGCGATTTTCATCTGAAAGTTAAAAACAAAGAATGATGTCAATGCTGCTGTTACTCACACTGTGTAGTGCATTTTCAGAAGGTATGGTTTTACTTATCACTTCCTGATTCTAGACTGATGACTTAGATATTGAATAAGACACCATGGGCCTTTGGTGTGTGTATGTCCCAGCAACTAGTAATTTCCTGCAAACTTAAATTGAAAAGTTTTAAGTAGTCTGGAATTAGTTTTAAAACCTCATAGTAAAATATGTGTATGTTGAATTTTTGAGTTCGATATTAAATTAAATGTCACCATTTTAGTGGGCTGATAGTTCTCGTTTTCTCAAGAGAAAATCGTGTTATGTAAAGTATGGTTTCAATATTTGATTTGGGGGTGGATCTTTTGAAAAAAAACCCACATGGCAGTAACAATGCAAATAAACTTTGGTGAGTTCATTATATACAATTACGTATCAGTACCTCAGCTGGGACTTTGTAAGGTGTACAGTTATTCTTGTAATCTACCAAATAATACCAAATATGCCTTTAGATTATATTTAAAAAATGATTTGTGAAAGTAATTTTTGGACGGGACATGCATGCTTTTTTCTTTCTTTTTCCTTTTTTTTTTTGTGGTGATGACCCAGTTCCATATCCCTGTTTGTACTGTCGAACTTGCTCTGACGGTCAATTACTTGTACAAATGGTCACTCCCCATTCTTCCCTTGCAAATATTTTTTGACATTTTTAATGGCACTGATGTCAAAGACAACCACCTTTCTCTTTGATAATGAGTAGTCGTCATAGACAATTTCGACTATACTTATTCATGTTTTTGCAGAATTAGTGACTATTTACGATATACATATGAACAAGTTTTTATTTTAGCTTGGTGACCTTGTTTACTTTTTTCCTTATTAGCTGTTCCTTTATTTTACCATGTTGCCCTTATTTCTGGTTGAGTGGCAATATTTGACTGACCAAGTCATTTGTTTGTTGTTTCTGTCAATTGTAGACAAGTGAAGGAATGGCAATGCTGTCGTTACCCCTCTAACGTAACTATCAATGGGGCTGCATGAGAATTGTCAAGGGAAACCTTTCATTTGGCAGCAGGGGTTACTGTATTCTTTTTTTTCAGGGGTGTCAAGCCTACGGAGAAGAGGGATGGTGGAGGTGCACACAATTGGGGAAGCTTCAAGGATGATCTTGAGTAAGGGTGCTTGTTTTCCCCCCTTTATTTTTTTCCCCTTTGTTTTTGGTAAACATTCAAGGGACAGTGGTCACCCCACTCCTGAGATTGGTTACTCTTGCTGATTTGCAGTCTCCATTGTTATAATTTTGCGTCAGATTACATTATTGGTGTTATTTTTCTTAAATCCCTTAAAACAAATTTGTTATGAATTATAAAAATGTCTTGGACACCTAAAGATGGTATATGTCCTTACTTTGAGCTGATTATTTAATGTTGCATGATTTGTGTGTTGAGTAAGTATAACAATGAAGGTCATTGTGCATGCTCTGACTTACCTCTGATTTTGTGCACAGGGAGCAAGATCAGCAGAACGAGTCTACTGACTGGACTAACCAGCAGGAGCCCACCGCTGAGGCTGCTGAAGCTGGGTAAGTATTACAATGTTCACTTTCAGGACATTTTAGTGCTATGAGCTGTTTTCTGGGATCTGCTTGAAATGATGAAAAATTTTGTGCAGAATTGTTTTGTTGATTCTTACCGGATACAGATCAAGCACCCAGTTAGCAGTCGTATGATGTCTTGGTATTGAGTAGCAATGCCAATCGCCCGCTGCGCCTTGGGCCGGAAATCGGCCTCCGCGCGAGGGGTATTTTTTGGGCAGCTCGGAATCAGAAGTGACTCTCTTCTAAGTTTAGTTACGGGAAAACTCCTAAACGAAAATAAATGAAACTCGGCAACCAACCAGAGGAAAGGTTAAACTAACGACATGCCAGCGTACAACCCCGAACGATTACTAGAACCGGAGATATTGCCATGTTTGTGCGAATTTCCTCTGCGGTTCGAAAACTAAGCGGAGCTGCGGGTTGATCGCCGACCACACAAGCGCCCCACATGTCTTCTTTATTGCTGTAAAATTTCAGATCTCTGCGTTTAGTAGATTTTCCGTACCAACTTAAAATTACCACCCACCCATTGATAAAACCCTAGATCTAGAAACTTGATCGCGCATTCCAAACGCGAGGTGCCGGCACGAAAGAGGCGCTTGATCGCTAGGCGGCATGTGATTGGCTGCCTATAACCAAATGGGTCACCGATGACTACATCGCGGGTTTTCCCGATAGCGCTTTACTGAGTTTTAGAAGGGGTGATCGCGTCGCGGTAAAAACGATGTCACGCAATTCAACAAATTTCACGCAAATATCAGTCTTTAAGATCTAAAGTAATGAAGATATCGAAAAAGTGATAGCAGAAATAGATTCGGCACTAAAAATCACATGGAGATGCCGTTTCATTCATATGCTCCAATTCATTACTGACTTGTGAACAGTTTTTCCTCAAAATACATCAAACACATGTCCCACATTTTGGCGATTTTTTCCTATATGAAAGTCCTCCAACATTTTGCAAACAAAAATCCCAATAACTTTATCAATGGATTTTAAAAATTTAAAAACAATAGTTCTTAGAATTTACTCTATTTTCATTTAAGCCCATTTTAAAGCAATTTGGATGAAAATTTGATTTTTCATTGTCATTGCTATATTGAGTAGATCAGTCCTTCAACAGACTGTTTGGATGGTATTTATTCATTCAACTGTCAACGCTTTCCTGTTCACACTTTTCACCCCCAGTGGCTGCCAGATGAAGGCCATGTTTACCTAGCAGCCTTTTATTAGTGTTCACATTCTTTGGGCTTAATGGGAATTAAAAAATTGACTGTCCTGTCCTTACTAGAAATGAAAACAAGGCCACAGCTTAATGTAAATGATTTTTAAAAAAATAACCAAGCTTACCATTAAGGATATCTTGTTGGTTACATATTGGGGTGGGTTGGAAGACATTTTTGCAACTATTCTACAAGAATTTTATTCCTTATATTTCCTCTTAAAGGATGTATTTCTTTTTGTCAGAAATGTTTCATCTGACATGGGTCAGGTACCACTTTTACTAGGTTCAATTAGTTTTGCTTGAAGTGAAGAAATATCTCAATTGTCGGGGGGTGTTGTGGTCGAGAGGTTACAGTGTTCGCCTCTCATTAATAGGTACCGAGTTCGAATCTTGAAAGCAACGAACAATTTTCTTCTCCAAATGATTTCATTCACCTCATTTCCTGCTCTCTGACAATGTTCTGTCGTCTCCACTATTGGTATGAGCTGTTTCCCGAGGTCTGCTTGAAATGACGAAAAATCTTGAGCAGAATTGTTTTGTTGATTCTTACCGGATACAGATCAAGCAACCAGTTAGCACCTGTATGATGTCTTGGTATCGAGTAGATCAGTCCTTCAGCAGAACTGTTTGGATGGTATTTATTCATTCAACTATCAACGCTTTCCTGTTCACACTTTTCGCTCCCAGTGGCTGCCTAAGGCCATGTATACATAGCAGCTTTTTAGTGCTCTTTAGATTACTACTAGAAATGAAAACAAGGCAACAGCTTGATGTAGAAGAATTTATTTTTTAAATATAGCCGAGTTTACCATTAAGGAAATCTAGTTGGTTCCATATTTGAGGAGAGGCGTGTTGAGACATAATTTGATTCTTTATATTTCCACCTTCAGGATATTTTCTTTTTATCTGACATGGACCAGGTACCATTACTAGTTTTCAGTTAGTTTTGCTTGAAGTGAAGAAATATTTCGAACAATTACAGGGGGTTCTTGTGGTCGAGGTTACCATGTGTGCTTCTAATTCAATAGGTCCCGAGTTCGAATCCGGAAAGTGATATGAACATTTTTCTTCTCCAAAAATTTTCTCCTTTTACTTCCTATCCTGCTCTGACAATGTTCTGTCGTCTGCTTTCGTGTTTACTTTCTGCCCCACCCACTTACCCTCTTTCTCCCCTCCTCTGCTGGGCTCTTTCTGCAGCCTTTCTATTGCCACTCCTTGGCTCCTTCTTACTGCTGTGTTTTTGCCACACCCTTGATCTTATGGTAGGTAAGATCTAATACCTAGCCTTCTCGGATAAGGGCGAAAAATCTTCGAGGTCTCGTGTGAAAGATGCACTCGTTACAGTCATTTGCCGACAATCGTCTGAAATCCGATAATCGCGACCCGACCCGCGAACCGGCCGATGCTATCGCTAGGACCACCTGTATCAGTCAATGTGCGAAGTGCGAGGCCTGGCCGACTGCCAGCGCCCCCTTTTTCTCCCGTCGGCTTTATCAGCACTTTTCGTTTTCGTGCGGACCGTCGGCGTTTACGATATAATTGTCGGAACCCGAGTAGGAATGCGAAAACGAAAAAGGACGACGACCTAAATTATCTACTTTCAGTTTCGTGCTCGAGCGGCCATTTTGAATTTCGTTTGTTGACAAATTCAATTGTTGAGATCGTGTGGATTCATTCACTCACTTGACTTGTTCTAATAGAATCTAGATTTAGATCTAGATTTATATAGATAATTATAGACCTCAATGGAGGATTCATATTCCAATTCTATTGTGTCAAACCCTATCATAGTCATAGGTTTTGCTGTAATATTAATGTTGGTAAAAAGCATTTCATCAGGTGCGTGAATTATTTAGAATCTATACTCAGCCGAGTCCCTCTTTTCGGAATCGGGTGCGGATTTCTAGTTCAAGGCCTATTCCTATTCACTTGTTCTACAAGATATCGATCTAGATTTATTTAGATTACTAGATCTAGATCTATATATGGTATGGAGGATTCATACTCCAATTCTATGTCTCTTCTTTGTTGTGTTTGTTGGGGTGGTCGCTCGTTACTTGGAAAAGTCCTTCCTTATGACACCTACAAAATTTAAGCTCTTATTGGGGGGGGGGGGGTGCGCGCAAAATTTTCAGACAATCTGGTTGAGGCTCACATGCAGGTCTAAAGACAATTGTCGTGTTGAATTTTACCGTATACAGTCAAATCTTCCTTAACGGAAACCTGTCTTTACGGAATCTCCTTGCTCCTCCCTTGATATACTCCTCTTTAACTACATGTATAAAACGGAAACAGAAAGAAAAATCTGCTACCTTCCGAGGGTTTAACCTGTCTTAAGATTGAAAATGCTTTGCCCGCTCAGCCCTGATTTGAAACAAAACTCAAGTTTGGTTCCTCTGGCTCTAAACTAGACACAATGCCGCCCGGCGAGGAAGGGGAATAGGAGTGCAATTTGGGAGCAAGTGTTACCCCATCTATCTGAGCCCTGAGCAATGCAGATGATCAGGGTTGTGTGGGTGTGAAATCTCACAAGTGCCAGTGAAAGTGCTCTAGTAGCGAGCTGCCTCAGGAACTTTCTGGGTAGCCAAAAGCCAGAGGTGGAAAAATTAGTTTGACCAATGCCTACTGCCATGACCGTATGACTAGCCGAGAAAAGAGTTCCTCGAATCGTTGTTACATGGCATTGAGGGGTGGCATTGGTTGACTGTTACGCCGATGGGTGGGGCTAAGTGTGGAAGCAAAGTAGATGCTCAGACGTTTCTGTTTTGTACAGGTCAAACTGATTCTACGCAATGCAAGCAGTGGTGGTAAAGGGATAAGTAAGACTGGCGCATGTCGTTATCAGAGAGGATGGGCCTTTGAATACCCCCTCCATCTCTCTCCATAATCCCAGGTTTAAGGCGGAAAATGTCTTAAGGGGAAATTTTTTTCTAGTTCACTAACGATTCCTCTTACACAGGTTCGACTACTGATTTAGCAAATAGTTTGGATTTGTGGGGCTTGTATTTTGTGTAGAAGATAATTCTTGCCCACTTCGGCTGAGCTGCTATTTCTGCATAGGATGAACACTCATATGGGGGGTTATGTGTGTAAGCTAATTGTCAAGCTGCTGGCGTACTGTAAGGTGTGAGAAAGCATATCAAGACACTTACACAATCTGGGGTTTACAGTTCAAGCTTTCCAAACGTCTTCGGGAACCAATGGCAATGGGGGGAAAATTGTTCCTAAGGTCTGCTTTTGTTTACTATCAAGGTTTCGTCAATGGAAGCATTGCTAGAAGTGAAGAAATTTCATAAACAGAATTGTTTTGTTGATTTTTACCGGATACTGATCTAGCAACAGGCTTCCATTTATGATTATAAGGGGTGAGTAGTATGAAAAATTCAGCTTGAGTATCGTTTGTGTAAGGGCACTTTTCTGGAAATAGGACTTGGATGTTGGAATAAATGCTATATATTATTGCTGATTTTTAAGTAGAAAACCCCACTAGTACTCCTAAAATGTTAGTCAGATATATTTTAACGTGGCCACTACCACACCTGCGACTTTTGGGTAAAGTAGCTCCGATGTCGTGATGCCACACCCGCAACCCTGGCAGTTTCGCACTTTATAATTTTTTTCTCATGTTAAAACCACACCGTTTGCGGTACTGGTCGGTCCCTTTTGTAGCTCATTGAATTATCTTACATTTTTACATTTGAAAAAAAAAGACTGAAGTCGAACTAGCGCAAGTTGAGTTATTGACTTTTACGACAGCCGCCATAAGAACTGAGTGTACCATAACGTTTCCCACAATGACAGATCGCTTGTCTTTGATAGTTTTCGAACCTTTGACAACGAATGAATTGGTTGAAGATTGTTATGACAACTGAGTTGGGAAATTATTGATCCTTGTTACGAGCCACCAAAGTAGGCAAAGAAAAATAAGGTTTAGTGAGGGCTCCAAAACCTAGATCTAGGGTTGCAGCAGTGGGAAAGGGCATGAGTAAGAAAGCAAAGGGAAAGCGGATTTTGACCAATTTTTGAAAACTTGGGGGGGGGGGGGGGGGGGGACAATGAAACAAAGCTGTAATTTCACCAGGACAATGTTAAAAAAACAATGTCCATATTTCAAGTCTCTATGTTAATTATCAAAAGCACAGTGATTTTTAATAATTGCCCTTGAAATGGCTGGTACAAAGGGAATGGCGACTCGGAAAATAGCTGGTAGTGAGTTAACCATTTAAAAGTCCTGTTTTGTTCATAGCCTGGTTTGTTTGTAAGTACCAATATTGACTAATATTGAGAAGATTATTGATTTGGACTTACTATGTATTTACTGTATGTGTTTTTAATTGTATTTTTTTCCTAGTGAGAATACCGAGGTAGAGCAGGGCCCAAAGGAGGATCCACAGCCTCAGGAGATGACTTTGGATGAATGGAAACTGTTGCAGTCCCAACAGAGCAAGCCCAAACCTGAGTTCAACATTCGCCTGGCTGGTGAAGGTGTGGACAGTGGCCAGTGGCAGAAGGGGCGTGAATATCACAAGAAGCACGACGAGGAGGATGAGGATGAGGAAGAGGAGGAATCTGATGAAGAAGATGAGGTTAGTAAACATTTAATGAGCAGATTGTCCTCAAAAAGAGATACAAAGAAGTTTTTCAGGTCCTGATATTTTTTCTCTTATATTTGTATTAGTATGCACATTACGTGTGCGATTCGTTTGTAAGTATAAAAATTGGCGCTATCAAGTGTAGACTACATGTTTTACACTACCCTAAAGCATGCAGGTGTTCTAAAAAGTAATGTTTTGATGAAATAGTTCTAGTCGGGGTTCCCACCTAAAATGAAAAGGAGGAAAAGGTCATGAATTTCATTTTCAGATTTCCTTGTCAGGGAAAAGACCATGAAAATAAATAAAAATTAAAAAACTGGGAGAAAGCCGGGAAATTGGAATTGGGTGCAGTCTACCTCAGGTCATTAGTTGTCGCTACCCTAGAATTACTGTTCTATCTGCTCAGTACCTAGTGGTGAGAAGTTATGATGGAAAAAAATTTGTTCACACGTCAAGCTTTTACACACGCAATTCTTTGATTATTCTACAACAGCTACTTCAAATAATCTTATGATTTTGATAGTGCAAGTACACTTTTGAATTTTCACCTCATGTAATTCATAATTTCAATGCAACGAAGCAGTTAGGCTACTGGAATCATATTCTTGAGGTTACAGGTTTGGGGATTTGATGATCAGGGCTTGGTCCGACTGTCCTCAGGGAACGTTTTTTTCATGGATTTCAATGTTTAAAAATTTTTTGGTTGCCCCAGATTATATATTAATTTCATTTATTTTTTTTTAAAATCAAAGAGATAGTAAATATGAACAAAGTAAAAAAAACCTTACAGTATCTTATCCAGTGCTGATAATTTCCGGCGGATTTCTGCTTTTTTTGTTCTTGTTGTTTGGGAAATATTACTGCAATTAAAGGTATGTGTTATATTATTGTAGTCGGTATTAGTTATATTTTTTTTTTATTTCGGGATTGCAACGGGGGTCGGAATATTTTCCTCTTTTTTTCACTTTTTCTCATCAGCACTGCTTATCGCACAAAACCTCGAGTATAGGGGCTCTTAATTATTTCAAGGGAAACAACCGCTCATAAGCAAGCACTCTAGGAAAGCATTGGTTCTGTCCTTTTGTAATTGTGCCATGATGATTTCTTAATCACAGTAAATGTTAAGGAATCTATTGGGCATGATGGATTGATGAAGACACACATGAGGGTGTATGTGATGTCAATCTAGGTGGGAAAGGGTTAAGTAAATGTCTCAAATGTTGTTGGGTATTTTCGTTAGGTGTAAATGTTTGCTTCTTCTAATTACAGGATGATCGCCATGGGCGTGGCAAGCAACTGGTGACCGACATCAGGATCACCTTCAATGACAACCCACGTAGAGGACGTGGTAGACAGCGAGGAGGCCGCGGTGGCATGGAGCGCGGTGGTGGCGCAGACCGTGGAGATCGTGGCCGTGGAGGCCGGGCCCCAGGAGGTCCCAGAGGCATGGGCGGAAAGCCCAAGGAGGCAGCGCCTCGCTTCGACGATGAGTCTGACTTCCCCTCACTTGTCAAGTCGGCAGCTTAAGCTTGAGGAAGGACTTATAATGAAAGTCCATGGGACTTTGCTTCCTTCTTGTTGATAAGCTGAACTGTACAATTTCAGTTGTACCAGAGTTGTCCTTTTTTTAAAAAACATTTTTTACCACAAAGCCTATAGAATGTTGTTAAAAAAAAAAAAATTTCACTTCTGCAGATTCTTTTGGATATGAAACAATGGTTTCCCTTGTATATAGTGGCATTAAGCTGGCCTCAGTGATTTGCCACACGACTTGTTGATACTTTATTTTGTGAGGTGGCTGTTTATAAGGCTGTAGGAGTGGAGTCAGTGTATCAAAATTAACACTTTGTTGTAGTGACAAGTGCACAGAGACTACTGGTGAAGCCCCTCGTGTACAAAATGTGTACTGGTGTGGCTCACAGACTTGATCGGGCTTTCCAACACAGTGCAAGACCTCACAGTACAAGATGTTCTCCGCTCTATCCCCCCCTGCCCCAGCATCAGGTCTTTATTTATCATGCTTATCATTTAATGTGTACATTTTGCTCATTACTATGATTGACAGTGCACATTAACCACGGTACCATTGGTAACAGTGTGCGAAAGGCTTGAGTTGGTTCAATACACTTCAGTCCATCTCATGTATCAGATCACTCATTACAGACTAACATTAAATCCATCCATGTTCACATTCTCATTCTATGCTGTATTTATTTTATGCCTTACCGAAAGGAATAGGTGTAATTTTTTTTTTTTTGGTTTTTTTTTTTACTACTGTATTTTAAGTGACAGAAGTAGGCAGACTTGCGTGTGTCAAGGTGAGTTGTGTGATGATCTTTTCTTTGCTCTTTTCCTTTCGAGTGTGCATGTGGTGTGCAAGGGAAGAGTTGAATGGTTCTCCTCTGTGAGAGCAGTATTTGGCTGTCTGCCTCTCATACTTGAAAGGTCTGAGGTCCTTTTGCGACGGTTACAGAAATCTAAAGGTCTATAACGTTTGGACTCTTTTAGTTCCCAGAAAACTGAGCCATATATACATAAATTGAGTATCAATTAAGTGTATTTTGGTGTAGTATGTTATGGATCATCTCGTCTCATTTCTTGTTGCAGTTGAGATTGTGCATTGTGTGAGATTTGTATTGTGCAAATGACAATAATAAAATGTCCCCTTTTCCTGAAGCCTTGCAGTTGTAATTTTGATAGAACATGGCTTGTGGTCTTACTTGTGGGACTTCTGGATTGTCATAAGATAAATGCCTGAGATCAAAATGAACAGATTTGTTTCACGACAAAGCTCATTACTGTCACTATAGAATTGAGAGTCTGATAACGGGCATTTATCTTATGCAGATATTTTTGTTTAATTTATTTAGAGGTTTTTGGCTCTTCCAGCTTTAGTTTTATTTTATACCTTTGGTTATCGTTTCCTTCTTCTTCTATCCCATTCCGTGTCTGCCTTTGCTATCTTTCGAGTTTCAGTGGTTGACTTCACATGATGCTAAGGGGTACCTATAATATCAGTGTCTGAGGAACAAATGTACAAATGTTTGTTCCTGTGTCGGGCACCTGGTTGTGGACTGCTGCGTCAAAGGAAGACTTTGACTTATCTACTCTTCATTTCATCACACTCTAATTTGAGCTATGTTTTTTTTATATTTTTTTTTATTGTTTTGGTTTTTCTGCCTCTTGCCAGATGCTCTGAATAGACTGATTAGAGGGGAGAGACAAGATCTGCGGAAGTCGGCTCCATCTCAAGGGATTTGCTTTTATGAAAAATGTTTACAACACTGAATAAAAATAATTATATCAAGACATTCACCTTCGGTTGAGTGATACCATCATATTAATATTAAGCTCTTTTGTGTCAGTGTGATCAAAGAAGGTGTTCTGTATTGTATACATGCATTTGTCGTCTCATGGAGATGACACTTGTCTTAGAAGGCCAGAAAGTACCATTACAGTACAGTAAATATTGGTACACACAAGAGGCGTGGCTAGGTTTTTTCAGACCTAAAGGCTTTTGCAAGGTTGCTTAGCCTGGCCTCGTAATTTGTGTACACAATTAACTTTCTGAAGAAAAAATGGCCCTGAAGTTGCATAAAATTCGGAAATCTGTGGGGACTTCCAGATGTTTTTTTCTAGCTTTGCAGTTGTTTCGGTTTAGATAATTAGCATGTAGGGTCTAGAGGATGCTCAAATAGTGGTGCTCGCTACAACGAAAGGGAATGTGCAGTTGTGCGCATCATAGCCTACTTTTTCTGTCAAACGGGTGTGCAGAATATATGTACTGTAACAGCACTTGGAGGACTGAACTGATGTCCCTGTCAAACGGTTGTGCAGAATATATGTGTACTGTAACAGCACTTGGAAGACTGAACTGATGTCCCTGTCAAAGGGTTGTGCAGAATATATATACTGTAACAGCACTTGGAGGACTGAACTGATGTCCCTGTCAAACAGTTGTGCAGAATATATGTGTACTGTAACAGCACTTGGAGGACTGAACTGATGTCCCTGTCAAACAGTTGTGCAGAATATATGTACTGTAACAGCACTTGGAGGACTGAACTGATGTCCCTGTCAAAGGGTTGTGCAGAATATATGTACTGTAACAGCACTTGGAGGACTGAACTGATGTCCCTGTCAAAGGGTTGTGCAGAATATATGTACTGTAACAGCACTTGGAGGACTGAACTGATGTCCCTGTCAAAGGGGTGTGCAGAATATATGTACTGTAACAGCACTTGGAGGACTGAACTGATGTCCCTGTCAAAGGGGTGTGCAGAATATATATGTACTGTAACAGCACTTGGAGGACTGAACTGATGTCCCTGTCAAACGGTTGTGCAGAATATATGTACTGTAACAGCACTTGGACTGAACTGATGTCCCTGCCAAACGGTTGTGCAGAATATATGTACTGTAACAGCACATGGAGGACTGAACTGATGTCCCTGTGAAACGGTTGTGCAGAATATATGTACTGTAACAGCACTTGGAGGACTGAACTGATGTCCCTGTCAAAGGGTTGTGCAGAATATATGTACTGTAACAGCACTTGGAGGACTGAACTGATGTCCCTGTCAAAGGGTTGTGCAGAATATATGTACTGTAACAGCACTTGGAGGACTGAACTGATGTCCCTGTCAAACGGTTGTGCAGAATATATGTACTGTAACAGCACTTGGAGGACTGAACTGATGTCCCTGTCAAAGGGTTGTGCAGAATATATGTACTGTAACAGCACTTGGAGGACTGAACTGATGTCCCTGTCAAACGGTTGTGCAGAATATATGTACTGTAACAGCACTTGGAGGACTGAAGTGATGTCCCTGTCAAACGGTTGTGCAGAATATATGTACTGTAACAGCACTTGGAGGACTGATTACACATAGATTACCCACTTCCAGTTGTGAAGCGTGCTGACAAAATATTTACTTCTCAGATTCAAGCCCTATGGAAGTAGATACATCACGCAATATAGGTAAAGTCCGCAGCTGGAAAATCTGCACGTTGATCAAGTAAATTGACTTGTGATCCTGTCAAAAAACTTTTTTCGCAAATTTTTCTAGATCTAGAGAAATTATCAATGCGAAGATTCTACGGCATGTGATGAAAGAAATATGCAGATAACGGGGTGCCCACTACTGATGGGATCGGCCTGATCGCCTGACTCAATCGCCTCACAAACAAACGTGTTTGTTTTCAGTTTCAGGCGATCGGCCCGATCCATCCATAAAATAAAGAATAATTCCAAGTGGTGTTCCGAGGTTGTGACAGGCGACATTCAGACATGAAAATTAAGAAAAAATTGGGAATACACTTCGCAATTGTATTTTGAAGGTAACATCTATTCATTATTCCCAGGTTTGCCTGCTATCAATACTATCAATGGTGCGACGACAAATTAATTGAATTACAGTAGCAATGAAAGGGTACCCTGCTTACATTGCCAGTAGAGTAATGGAAAGATATGCTGGGGAAAAAATCGAACTAGACAAAATGTTTGGGAAAAAATAAATGTTATGGGCTGAAGACCATATCTTCAAACAGGCTCCAAAATGCCATTTTCAACCTTTTAAAAGCACTTACTGCGGCCCCCAGACCCCCGGCACAATTGTCTTACTTTTCAGCTTCAGCTGGTGGAAGCACTTGACTGAATTCACTCGTTTTTTGCCAAACCGACGCTTTGACTAAGTGAAACTAGTAGGCCTACTAGATGTTTTCGTTCCCTAAATAAAATCCTTTCCTAGTTTTCAATAACAATAAAAAGTAATTATGAATGACGGATCATGTTAAAAGAAATAATACTGAGGCACCCTATCAATCAGTGTATCCCTGCGATACGTCTGGAAAGAGTTAATATATTACATGTACTATGGTATCAATAGAAAATCTACAAATTTGACCTACTGCTTTACTAGTATAGATTTTTGGGTATTTCTCCATCCATTTGAGGATTGTGAAAAATAACTCATTTTGTCAGCATGCCTCACAATTTATCGCTGTCACTATCACTCACTGCTATTACTTACATTTTTTTCCCCCTGTGATACTGTGGATTGAACGAGGCTGGGTATGATGACTTAAATTCTCGTTGAATCCGAGTGTTCGTTTTAGCAAACACGAGGTTTTGAGTAGATAATTACAAGCTCTGAGCAAGTAATGTATAAAGAGAAGTCACAAGTAGTGCCTGAAATGACTGCATATTAATATTATGATGAGCTGTGTAAAAAAAAAAAAAGACCGATTCGTTCAAATGCACACGCATGTCATCTCGATCGTTTACCAAAAAGTTGTGTTGCTGTGTACTGTGTAGAGCCTAGCATACGGCAACTTTAGATTCCATAGACCAGGGCACAATTCATTACGTAGATCTACGTCAAGACTAGCTTATCATTGTCATTATAATAGTGATCAGTTGCCGAGGGGGGGAAAAGACTGCCGCGTTTGTATCTGCGACGTTCAGTGATAATGCTTTATTTATGTATCACATTCATACTCTACTGTACGTTGCTTACAACTTACAACTATTTCTTTTCAAATAAATGTAGTTAGATCTACTCTGTTTGGGGGAAAAGGATCACAGGATAGATCTGTGGTGGTAGATCTAGTTAGCAGTTCCTATTTTTCATTCACAATGGTAAATTTCACTGACTGTACCAAACGACACAGTTCCTATTTTTCATTCAGTCAATGGAGAATTTCACTAGTGTGACTCTGTTAGTGTTAGTCTGTACCAAACCACGGTCAAGCTATGTCCCTAACTGGACTTGCATGTATCCAGCATCCCCCTCCCTCCCTCCCCTGCACACAGGGGAGGACCCCATGACACGTCATAAGATGTACACAAATTGACGCAGACTTGAGTCACATAGGTGCAATTTGCCCTCAATGTTGGGTTTTCTTGCTTTATTTGATGTGACTGAGTGGTTAGCAGGTGTTTCTTTCTCCTATCAACAATCTATCATCCTTCTCTCCCCTTTTGTTGTGTTTGTTACTTGCTTGTAAATTTAATGCCTTTAACTGTGGGTGGTTGGCAGGTGTTCTGGTGTGGTTTGCTTCTTCTTTCCTGTCAAACATCTCTATCGTCTTTATCTCCCCTCCTTTTTTGTGTTTGTTACTCTCTTGTAACGACTCTAATCTTCGGCACTTATATGACCTTATTGTGTTGCGAGTGCCGTAAAACACTTACTAATGCACATGTAGTAAAACTAAAGAATATTCGATGCAAAAGAGGAAGAAGTACGGTAAGCATTTGTGGACTAGTCCAGCTGTATTTATTCATGGGTAGTTTCCCTTGCTGCAACAAGTTCCCACGAACAGCACACCCAAGTACCCAAGCCCTCTCTCGTGGCCATAAATGTCATTGTGGCAGGCTGCGCATGACATGTAGCTTGGGGTGGGGCTAGATAGATGAAGTATGCAGCACACCGCAGCCTTCTCGCTTCACCTGCTGCGTGGGCTTGCTCCATCACTGCGTTTCTCTCTCTCTCTCTCTCTCTCTCTCTCTCTCTCTCTCTCTCTCTCTCTCTAGTCTCTCTCTGTCTCTCTCTCTCTCTCTCTCTCTCTTTCTCTCTCTCTCACTCTCTCTTACTTTTTAAAATGTACACATTGTTAACCCCCCTGGGCAGTGCCACTGACTGAAGTGTCTTTAGCTGCCCAGTAGGATGATGCGA